AGGACCCTGGAGAGCTCTGCTGATGGAAACAAACTGAGATCCAAACATCCAGACTGATGAACGCTGCAGAAGAAACTCTGAGAGGTTTTCATGTTTAATTCAGGAACATATCAGCAGATCTGGACTTAAGTTTGACCTTTTTGTAGTGCTTAGTCCTGTTTCTCTCCTAGACATAGCTATGAGCTTAGCTTTTACTCTAACTGCTTGTGTTCTCTTCCATCCTTGTTTACATGATAAAAAGCTCAAGGATCATCTGCTTAACTGTTTATTTTTCCTAGCCAGAGCCTTCTGTGGAGCTATGGAGTTACCTTTTCTCACATTTAAGTAATTTCTCTCTGGAATTATTAAAGTATATCTGATTCTAGAAGTATTTCTGATGATAGAAAGTTTTTATAGATCTGTACTTCTATGTTTCTTTCTGTATCTGTGCTTCTGTCTCCTTGAACCCCAGTCTGCATCAGCAGAAGGCCGCTCACACCGAGCCTGGTTCTGCTGAAGGTTTCATCCTGTTAAAGAGAGTTTTTCTTCTCCACTGTCGCCACATGCATGTTTGGTGTGAGGGATTGCTGCAGAGTCAACAAAACAAGGTAGCAAATGTCTGCTGTCGCTACATGCTCCTCCAGGAGGAGTCAATCCTACAAAGATAGAAATCTTTTAATGATATGTATGTATCATTTGATTGGATTGTCTCTCTAAAGTGTCATGATATGGAAATCAAACTTGAAATGCATTTTGCAATTGTGAATTGTATTTATTAATCCAATATTAAATACTGAAATTAAAAAATGTTTCAAATCCTGTTTCTAAATGGATATTTAAAAACCATGATTCACAATTCTGATTATAAATACCTTTCTTCATTAAACATTTTAAAAGGTAATGCCCTTTTCCAATTTCCATCATTTTCTTTTTTTACCATTCATTTTCAAATATTTTGACTGTTGCATTTTCTTTTGACTTTATCATCCCCATTAATCATTTCGATTAACCTGGGCAAACTGGAGACCAAGTTGAACCAATCACAGTTGCTCCTCGGATGTAACTAGCTCTCTCATTGGTTAGACAGCCAAACTTGGATCATAAATGATGGCTACCACAGGAGGTACTGATTTACTGCTCCACCTGCTCCCTTTGTAACTACAGACAAAGTGAAAACTCACATTTCCTATTTGGCAGAATTAGTTTGATATCATCAGAAACAAGAGAAACTAATCTTGCTGGATGGATGATTTAAAAGTTTTGCCTTATATGCAGAAGTCTCCTTTAAGGTATTTGCATCATTGGCACCTGCTCTGTTGCTGTAGTTAGCCAAAGTGATTAATTCCTGTGTAATTCTCAGTCATCAGGGTCATGGCATGTCCATTCCATGCACAATAAAAGACTCCAACCATCCAGAAGAACAAGGGGCGGCTATTTAATTTCCATCTGACTTTTAATGTTCTTAGGGGGATGGACCTACATGCTGCTTAAATACATGAGAGCTCCAACTACAGATTGATCTGTGTGAGCTGACAGAATTGATAAAGACCCCTGGATAGGTGTTGAAACGTCTTCAAATAAACTGAGTTAAAGTCTGGTTGCCTTCCAATTTCAGCTTGTTTGTGGTTCCAAAGATATAAAGTTATCCATTGTGATGCTCCAAATATTACTTGCTGCCTCGTCCTCCATGTGCGAGTTTATTTATTATTTATCTACTAACCAAACACCAAATAGTCCACATCTGAATCGAGGTGTGATGACCATTCAAAGCAACAACAGATGCACTAGGAAGAATTTTGGCAAGAATTTTGCAGAAGAAACTAGAACATTGATCTAGAGAATCCAAACCTTGATGATGGACTGTTTGACTCTTAGAAAGTGTGTTTTTAACTATTCTTTACAGTCTAAGAGGAAACTTACCCATTTTTTCATATTCCAACCTGTTATCTGTTTTGTTTTCATGTTTTCTATCTAAAACAATTTACATACTAGACTATGGATTATATAAAAAATCAGGATCCTCTTCAATGAACATAGCCTGCATCCAACAAACAAGTTTTAATATTCAAAGACCCGTCCCTGTAGAAGAGTGACAAATATGCTTCAATTGAAAATTTAGGGGGAAGGTATGGAGCACCAGAAGTCTGATTTAGCTCTTTAGATAAATCCACTATAATTCCCAAACACATCGAGATTTTCTGAGGGACCCTGAAAGCTGAAACCCAGACAGATGGACAGACAGACTGACAGACAGACCTTACTCTCTGCCTTACTGTTTCCGGTTAGAGTTGAAATCTTTGGTCCTCCTGGAGCTCTCAGAGAGATGTGTGTCGCTGCGCGATGACACTGAGTTTGTGTGTCTGTTTTAGAACCGATGTGTAGAGCAGAGCGGTGAGGAAGAGGAGGAGAAAGGGGGAGACAGGTCCAACATGTGTCTTCCTGCTTTGGAGAAAATGCTGCCAACCTGCTGCAGGGAATCTGAGCCGATTTAAGAGCAGAAAATAAACTGAAGGGGAGGTCACAATCAGGTCAGAGGTTCTGCAGGTCCAAACGGATCACTGAACAAAAATAATCAGAAATATAATGATGATGGAGGATTTAATTAAACTCACACTAAATCATGATCTTCACTGAGACTTTAAAGTCC